CAATGTATATCCCGTATGCAATTCTAATAAAATTCCTTCGGCAATGTAAGCCGCCTTAATAAAAAAAAAAAATAAAAAAAAAAAAAAAAAAATATAATTTACAGAATTACAATTCTCAAAAATAAACAGAATTTATTATAAATTAGATACAAAGATCTGAGTAATTATTCAAATTTATTGATAGTAAGATTTGAATCTTAGAACACTTATATGATGATCTGATAACCTAACTACTACAATAAGATCATCAGACTTGTAATACTATTTATCAAATCAGTAAACATGAATATATAAACTTCTAATTTTAATTCCAATATAAATATAAATTTTAATTTAGAATTTAAATCAAAATTAACTCAAATAACTCAAATTAAGATCTTTTTATTTCCAAATTTTAAAATTCTTGCTTATTTTTTAAGTTTATTAACATTCTACTTTGTAATTTTTCAAAAGCTCCAAGTTCTGGTCTCTTATCTTTAATGCCGGCCGCCTAGCTCATAATGCTGACCCGCTTTATCCTTATATATAACTCGAGTTAGGTTTTTCTAACTCGAGTTAACTCAAATCAAAGTCTAAGCTCTACTTTAACCTAACCTCAAAAATTTTATTTGTTTATTTAAACAATTTTATAATACGAAGTAACGTCTCCTGAAGTAAAAATTAATTAAAAACTTAAAATTAAAAAATTAATTTAGCAAGAAACAAAAAAATATTAAAATTGATTTTTGAACAAATAATATATTTTAGTCTTTAAGAGTCGCGCACTATAGCAAATTGATATAGTGGAAGTAGTGGAAGTAGGAGCTCCATTAAATAACTGAGTTGACCCGAATTCAGGTAAAATTCCTACTCTGCATATTAAGCCTTCTTTAACCTAACTATATTCATAACAATGAGGGTTTATTACTTTAAATCCTGCCAAAATCACGTGCGGGAAAATTTCTTGGGGGTAATTAATTAAAATTTATCTTTATTATCACTTTTGTGTGATAATTGAAGTCCGCTAGGCATAAAGTTTTGGTGTGACAAATGATTATTGATTCAGGGGCGACAAAATTTCAAGGGGCATCATAATCATACAAACACATGGTCGAAATGAGTATGTAGGTTTGCAAGGTACGTACATTTAGTTTTATTACGAAATAAAAGCAAAGCTGCATGAAATATTGAACTGAAGCCTTATGTATGAATGAAAATTCAAAATTGTATAACAGCCCTTGTTGTCTAAATCTGGGACACAGTATATTGAAAATCGGATTCTTTGATTGGCTGACATCACATCTAGGCTACATTTCAAAAGCTTCAAAGTCTCTCAGGGGTACCAGCAACTTGAAAAATAGGACCCCCTGTTGCGTTCGCACAATTTTCATAACTAATATCCCAAAGATGCAACAGTCACCTCTCCAGCACGAAAACCCACAAACCAGCACGATTTCACAGGAAGCTAATTCCACACAAAACGTCCAAACACCTCCAACTCCACAGACACGCGATCCGACTTCCCATGTAATTGCTACGTCTTCCCAACTTAATGCCCAACTTAGCGCTCAACGGTCTCCGTTCGTTGTAGGACTTGCTGCTTGGGTGCCACCAGCTGGAGCTTCAACTGCAGCATCGGAAACTGTTGCAACACCGGTGACAAAAAATGTTCAAAAAGCGTCAACATCCGTATCGCAGAACATTAAAGCTCCAGACATTTTTTCTCACCAAGCAGCATTTCCTATTCAGCAGATGCCTTTCAAACATCTTAATCCTACTCAACCGGTGTCTGTAGTAGCTATTTCTGCTCTTTTAGAACCCGATCAAAGGACTGAGGAGCTTTTGGGTGCCTTATCTATTGAACAACTATCGTCAATCGAAAAGACTATACAACGTGTAAAGAGAAAAAAAAATAGAGAGTTAAAAAAGCACATTAATGATAGTACTGCTGTTAACAATAATCTCAACAATAATCCAGCTACTCATGCACGGGTCGAACATTCGGTATCAAACACGAACACAACTCCAATGTTAGCACCAAATCCTTTGCCTTCACCTGTTAACGCTAGTACTACCACTACTATATCTTTTGTTTCATCAAATGTCAATAACAGAGTTCAGGCACAGGATCAACAAATTGTTCATCAACAACAACATCAACAGCCTAACCTCGACCACCAACAGCACCGTACACAGCAACAGCCAGTGCAACAAACACAAAATCATTCAACTCAACCGCAGCAAAACATATTAATTCAAACACAAACCGCTTCGAAGCAACAATCTCCAGAGATATCTAATCGACCCCGCCGATCTGATGTTCCAATTACTAATCCAAATCCAAACCATGCACTTCCAGCAACTGACCCAATTATCGAAGAATTTGAAGGAGTGCAATGGGTTGTTTTTACATATTCAGTTAAAGGTAACAACAAAGAATATCGTATACGGATCGACATTGATAGGGTTAACCTTGATGAGATTGATGAACAATTTAGACATGATAATTGCCTTTATCCAAGAGCCAATTGTACCGAGGATAAGTACCAAGGTAATCGATGGTCATATGAAAATGAATGTAACGCATTGGGATGGAAATTAGCATGGCTTAATCAAGAAGAAATTAGTGGCCGAAGGGGATTACTTCAAAGAGCAGTAGATAGTTATCGAAATCGTGATCCTTCACTACGTTCTCGGAGAGTTGTTCGAAATGAAAAGATTATGAATGGAACGCTACGTAAAAGGGTCACAAGAGATAATGACTCTTGTGATGCATCATCTGAAATTTCAGCAAAAAGACCCCGAGGAGCGAATAAACAATTGACAGTAGAATATACAGTAAATGAAGATATTACTAAAATTCGTATACGTGCTGATATTGAATGTGTAAATTTATCAGAAATTTCTGATGATTTTAAAAAAAATAATAGTGTGTATCCTAAAGCTGCAGTTGCAAAGGCAAATTATCAAGGAACAAATTGGGAACATGAGTCGGCATGCAATGAGTTAGGCTGGAAATTGGTATTTTTTTTTTTTTTTTGACTTTAAATTAACGAATTATATTAAACTTAATTAAAATATCTAACCTTATTTCGCTATAGGCACATTTGAATTCTACGAAACTTAATGGGAATATATTACTTCTTCAAAAAGCAATAGAAACGTACCACGCAAAATATACATCTGACATAAAGCCTCGTCGAGGAAGGTATTCACATACTCTTTCATCTAAATTCTTTGAAAATCATCCGCGTGAAGTGAATTCGGATGCTACTACTTGTGCGACGACATCATTATCAATGAAAGAAGCCAGTCATCAGACAACACCTGTTATTGCAACTGATGCTATGGTAATGTTAACACCTTCCGATTCTAAATCGGCAGTTATATCAATGGGAAAAGCAAAGGATTTAAATATTGCAGAAAATAATCCTTTGGAAACTAACAAAGATTAAAATGTTATAATATTATTACCACCAGCCACCATCCTATAATAATTAAAAGAATAGTAACATATATAGAGTTTGATGGAAATATACACATTTTGAATAGTGAGAATCGCGTATTACTGGATTGAAACATAAAGGAAGTCGTGAATGATAAAAGTGGGTTTTAAATATAATAACGTGCCTGGGATTTGTCTAAGGAAATACAACGCGTTCTCGCTGATTTTGCTATAATACATTATTTATTATTATATTATATATATATATTTTTTTTTACAGATTAGCATGTAGAGTTTAAGATCTCCACTTTCTTTTTATTTGTACAATTGCTAGTGGGTATATATAGGTATGGCTGGGGTACTATGAGAAAATTTTATACACTAAATAAAATTAATAAACTAAACTGTGATAGTTTGATTTTTGATTTTAATATTAAAGTCTTTAAATTGTGTATACAACTCACGCTTGTTATAGTAAAGGCATCGGGCTTGCTATATCTTATATCGAGAAAATACTATATAGCATGTTGAAATTTAATAATATTGAAATTCAAAATTATTTAATATATCAAATCTTTACTATAACGAGTTTACTATAACAAGATGAGTTGTAATTCGATTTTTTAATATAAAACCTTCATAAAGTCCATATGTACGATCTTTGCTTTTAGACCTATTATATGGTTGATATCGGAAGGATATTCATTGTGCGAGGAAATAGTTTTCATGATAAATGCTCTAAAGAGAAATTATTGAATAAAATGCTATTGTCACTTAAATATTATTATGGTTAGTAAGAATTAAAAGGAGGTTTAATATTAAATTTATCTATGGTTAGATAATTCATTAAACCCAATCGCTTTTTGTATTAGAAGATATTGTCATTTATAGAAATAAAAACTTATAAGCTTGGAACAAAACCAGAATAGCATTTAGAAAGAGTAGCGCTTATAATCAAATTCTATACTGTAAAACATCACTATATGTTCTTAGCATTAAAAACAGTTGAGACAAAGTTGGGAACACTAGTTATTCTAAGACAAACTGGTTTTTAATTATATAAATGTATATTATTTTTTACAAGTTAAATAAAGTTGACGCTGTTCGTAAATATCACACTAAATATTATATATTACATATTTAATAAGATATATTAACACCCAATTGATTAATAATATGTATTTTTTTTAAACCCAATTTTTAAGAGAACTAAATATAAAAAAAAATATATGTTGAAATATTTTCTAAAGGCTTGTATGACTTATCATAATTAGGAATTCAACAAAATAAAGCCAGATGCAATCTTCTATTTAAAAAAATGAGAAAAATACTTTTATAGGACATGAATAAAAAATGTGAGGGAGATTACTTTAAATAATATTAACCCTACTTTAATTAAATAATTGAAATTATATAAAGTTTAATGAAGGATAAACGTATTATGGCAGCACGATGTTGTGTAAGAATATGAAGGTTAATATTGGACTCAGGGGCTGCTGTGACCGCACCTGGCATTATACGTTTCTCGCTTATATTTTAGGCTTTAGTGAGAATTACATTATATATAACTTAATAATTTCGCAATTATACCTTGTTTAATAAGTTTAATCGTAATGTTATCTGAATCATTGTATCAATTACTTATTTTTCACATTATTTCTGGAACACCTGAATATTTTGATATCACAATCTAACGCCAAAACTCTGTTTTAATATACTGTAAATAATCAAATTCATATCTGTTATGAATATTCATAATTATTATTATAAATATTCTATTTAAAATACTATATAGTTGTAAATAATTGTAATTAGAAAGTTAAGAAGTTTTGTTTTGGATATATGTGAAGTTTATAATTATAACTATAGGGCTTTTTACACATTCACAAAAAGTGCTATACAAAAATACTTTTCATTTATTACAATTATTATAATCGGAGCTATATGTAATCTTGTTACAAGGATACAAGGAATAATGGTATTGGTGCTTGGATCCGACATCTGGTTATAAACTATCCGATGAAATCTGTGAATCTACTAAAATAATTTTTTTCACTAAAAATAATATATATAGTTATTGGTGTAAAGCATTCAATAACAATATTATCCATATCCTACAAAAATAAACTCAAATTGAATAATAATTCAAATTTTTAATTTAATTTATTTTTTTTTTGGTTGTTAAATTTTTATTTCTTTCACTTTTAATTTATTTTTACAAACAAAAAATGAACCCGTTTTTTGTTAAACCTAAATAAGTAAAGAAGGCAAACCAAATATATATATATATATCAAAATTAAGATCAATGAAATAGTTAATGGTATTATCTTACAAAGTTCTTCACCTAGTCAAGACAATTTTAAAAGTCTAAAAAACTATTGAAGTTTTTTATTAGTCAAGGCAATTTTAAAAACCTAGAAATTAATAAAGTCTTTCATCTAGTTAAGACAATTTTAAAAATCTAAGAAATTAATTAAGTTCTTTATATAATCAAAACAAATTTAAAAATTCAAAAAACTATTATATTTCTTTACTTAGTGCAGTATAATTATTCAAAATATGTATTTTTTAATTGACGTGTATACTGTTAGTGATACAAAGTATTAGAAAAGCCAATTAAAATTTAAAATCTGGTGTAACATACCTTTGTAGCTCTAACAAAAAAAATTTCTTGCTAAATTTTGTATATATATAACACTTTGCTAAAATTTCAAGTCTCACTCTAACTTTAAAGTTAAAAAAATTTTTTTTTAATAAAATTTATTTATCACAAATTATGTATATATATATACACTATATATAATTTAAAAAATATTTTTTTTTTAATTTGTAAAGTAATATAAACAAATTTGCTTGGATTTTTATATTTAGAAAAGCTATATTCATAATATCATGTTATATAACACTATACTATTAAATATATAATATACTAAACCTATATCTTTACCCTAATCTAGTTTACATAATTATTATATATAAGGTGTTATATAACATAGATGTTATGAATATAATATTTTTTATATTTATTTAGTTTTGATTTATTAACTATTAAAAATTCATATTATAATATTATAGTTATTTTTATAAAAAAATTTTTTATTATTTAATTTTATTAATTTTTTTTTTTAAATTTAGCAGTTATGTAAAACTTTATTTAGATTTATTTTTGTATATGATATAAAAATATTATTATTTGATTATATATTATCCAATATTTAATTTTTTAAATTTTAACTCATCTAGTTATCTTATAGATATCTATATACAATCTGTTATAGTAATTTTTTTTCTTTTTAGCAAGTCATGCTTTAATATTTATTCAATATAATTATAAAACTACAAGGGTTTATAAGTTTAATTTAACAACTAAAGAAGGTAATATACATATATATGAATATTCATACTAAGACTTAACTATTTACCTTACTAGTACCTATTCACAATCTGCTATAAAGTAGATTTAATTCAACCTAGAGACCAGACTAATTTATCTTTTACTTATCAGTATTACTATATAAGTCTACTTAGCTCATTATGACTTCTCACCTATATAGTTAAATATTATTAAACTATAATACCTTCTATATAGTAAAAAAAAATAAAAATACTATATATAAAAAACTATTTTACCCTATAATAGAGATCTGCATTGGATCTTACAGCCTAGCTTGACCTAGTTCAGCTTACAAATTTTTACAAGCTGAGCTAGATTTGAAGCAAAATTTTACAATTATAGACCAATACAGATCTAAAAATTTTCAAAAATTTATAATAAATTTTGCATACTAGGCTGAGTTAGGTTAGCTTAAAGAAAAATTTATATATATACAAACCAGGCTGAGTTAGCAAAAAAATTTTAGAACTAAATGCAAGCCAGATTGAATTAACAAAAAAAATTTAAAACTAAGTATAGGCTGAGCTAGGCTACAAAAATAGGTAATTTGCAGATTTCTACTTTATGATATATACTATATATATCTCTTAATTTATAACACAAACAAATTTGCTTGTGTCTACTTTTAATTTTTGTAATTTTTAAAATAAAACTTTAAATATTAATTTTAAATATATACTTTCTAAGTAAA